TGTGCTGCCGGGCCCACTGGGGTCTGTGCTGCTGGGCCTACTTGCCACCGACGCAGTCGCCGTGAATGAGCGCTTCACCCAGCAGCAAGTAAAACAAATTAAAAAGGAAAAGAGAAAATAAAGACAGCAAATGAGAGAGGAGAGAGAAGAAAAAGAAAAGAAACAAAAAGTAAAGCAGACGGAGCTCAGAAACCCTATTCCACTGCTATCTTATGGAGAATCCCAAGATATTTAATATATACGTATTAGGAGCAAGAGAGAAATTAGGAAAAGGGTAGATCCAGTCAAGATCAAATGGGGGAATTTATACATGAAGCCAGAGGAGATATTCACCAAAGAGGATGGGGGTGATGGTAACATTGGGGAGGGGTATGTTGATATTCTGAGGCATGTCAATATTATAAAGGAGGAGGTATGGGTGTCTTGAAAAGCATATGTCCCCAGGGCTTGATGGGATCTATCCCAAGATACTGAGGGAAGCAAGGGAGGAGATTGCTGGGGCCTTGATAGAGATCTTTGAACCCTCTTTAGCCACAGGCAAGGTCCCAGAAGAATATAGAATAGCCAATGTTGTTCTTTTGTTTAAGAAGGGCAACAGGGATAATCCAGGAAATTATAGGATCATAGAAATCATCATAGAATCCCTACAGTGTGGAAACAGGCCCTTCAGCCCAACAAGTTCACACCTACCCACAGAGGATCCCACCCAGACCCATTCCCCTATAAGCCACCTAATCTACACATCCCTGAACACTATGGACAATGTGACATCACCGGTCCACCTAGCCTGCACATTTTTGGACTGTGGGAGGAAACCGGGGCAGCCAGAGGAAACGCACACAGACACGGGGAGAATGTGCAAACTCCACACAGACAGTCACCTGAGGATGGAATTGAACCCAGGTGCCTGGCGCTGTAAGGCAGCAGTGCTAACTGCTGAGCTAACCACTGAGCTACTGTCTCAGCCTCTAAAGCAAAAATGGACTTAGGAGTCCTAGTTCAGGATTCTCCTTAAGGTTAATGTCCAGGTTTGTTGGTAGTTAGGAAGGCAAAGACAAATACAATGTTAGCATTCATTTCAAGAGGGCTAGAGTCTACACTTGGTCTGACCGATATAGAGGCAGCCACATCGAGAGCAGTGGATGCAGTATACCACATTGACGGACATGCAGGTGAACATCTGTCTGATGTGACAGGTTTGTTTTGTGCCTTGGATGGAGGTGAGGGGCCAGGTGTAGGGGCAGGTGTGGCACTTCCTGAGATTGCAGGGAAAGGTGCCACGGGTGATGGGGCTAGTGGGGAGTGTGGAGCGGACGAGGGAGTCATGGAGAGAGCGGTCCCACTGGAAGGCAGATGGGGTGGGGAGGAAAATATATCTTTAGTTGTGGGGTCAGATTGCAAGTGGCGGAAGTCGTGGAGAATGATGCGTTGGCTGCAGAGGTTAGTGGGGTGATACTTGAGGACAAGGGGGATTCTGTCTTTGTTTTTGTGGGGGAATGCAAGAGATGTGGTAGAGGGCATTTTCAAACACTGATGGGGGGAGGTTGGGACCCTTGAAATAGGGAGACATCTGGGATGTCTGGGAGTGGAATGCTCCATCTTGGGTGCAGATACGGCGGAGGCGGAGGAATTGGGAGTAGAGGATCGCATTCTTGCAGGAAGGTGGGTGAGAAGAGGTGTAGTCTAGGTAGCTGTGGGAGTCGGTGGGCTTGAAATAGACGTCAGTTTTGAGGCAGTCACCAGAGATGGAGACAGAGGGGTCCAGGAAGGAGAGGGAGGGATTGGATATGGTCCAGGTGAATTTGAGGTTGGGGTGAAAGGTGTTAGTAAAGTTGATGAACTGTTCGAGCTCCTCATGGGAGCACGAGGCGGCGCCGATACAGTCATCGATGTAACGGAGGAAGAGGTGGGGGATGAGGCCAGTGTAGCTGCGGAAGAGGGATTGTTCCACGTAACCTACAAAGAGGCAGGCATAGCTTGGGCCCATGTGGGTACCTATGGCCACCCCCTTTGTTTGTAGGAAGTGGGAAAGTTAAAGGAGTGCAGGGTAAAGACAAGTTTGGTTAAGCGGATAAGGGTGTCAGTGGAGGGGGACTGGTCGGGCCTGCGGGAGACAAAGAAGTGGAAGACTTTTAGACCATCTGCTTGGGGAATGCAAGTATATAGGGACTGGACGTCCATAGTGAAGATGAGGTGTTGGGGTCCGGGAATTGGAAGATTTGGAGGAGATGGAGGGCATGGGTGGTGTCCTGGCCATAGGTGGGGAGTTGCTGGACTCAGGGGACAAAACAGAATCAAAGTGGAAAAAAGAGTTCAGGGGAGAAAGAGCAGGTCGAGACAATGGGTCGGCTGGTCAGTCGGGTTTATGGATTTTGGGAAGGAGATAGAAATGGGTGGTGCGGGGTTGGGGAACGATGAGGTTGGAGGCTGTGGGTGGGAGGTCACCTGGGGTGATGAGGTTATGAATGATCTGAGAGACGATGGTTTGGTGATCAGGGGTGGGGTCATGATCAAGGGGGCGGTAGGAGGAGGTGTCAGAGAGTTGGTGCCTGGCCTCAGCGATATAAAGGCCAGTGCACCATACCACTACTATGCCCCCTTTATCCATGGGTTTAATGATGAGTTTAGGGTTGGAGTATATTAACTGGAAGGAGAGGTTGGACACGCTTGGTTGTCTTCACTAGAGCGTCAGAGGCTGAGGGACGAAATATGTCAAATCATAAGAGGTGGATAGTTGAAGTCTTTTTCCCTGGATGGAAATCTCAAATAGTCGGGGGCATAGGTTTAAGGTGTGAGATGTGAGAGAGCAAATGCAATGTGCCTTAATGACTACTGCCTAGTGCCTCTGACCTCCGTAATCATGAAATGCTTTGAGAGTCTGGTCATGGCACACATCAACTGAAGTCCCCCACTCAACCCTCTACAATTTGCCTACCAACATAACAGACCCACAGTGGACGCCATATTCATAGCCCTGCATTCATCCCTGGAACATCTGGATAATAACCTGGTGTTGTGTAATTTTTGACCTACATGAGACTCCTGCTCGTTGACTACAGCTCCGCCTTCAATACCATTATCCCCTCCAGACTGATCTCAAAACTGCGTGGTCTTGGTCTTGGATCCATCCTCTGTGACTGGATCCCCAGCTTTCTGACCCATAGGCTGCAGTGAGGATAGGTAACTGCACCCCCTCCACATTAACACTCAACACTGGAGACTCCTCAAGAATGCATTCTCAGCCCCCTCCTGTACTCCCTGTACACCCACAACTGTGTAGTCAAATTCCAAATGAATACCATCTACAAGTTTGCTGACGACACCACTGTGGTAGGACAGATATCAAACAATGACGAGTGAGAATACAGAAAGGAGATAAAAGGCGTGGTGCAATGAAAACAACTTCTCTCTGAAAATCAGCAAAACTGAAGAACTGATTATTGACTTCAGAAAGAAGGAAGGAGAACATGCACCCTCCTGCCACCCCACCATCTATATCAATGGAACTGAGGTTGAGAGGGTGAAGAACATCAAGTTCCTCAGAGTGACGATAACCAACAACCTGTCCTGGACTTCCCACGTAGATCCAATGGCCAAGAAGGCACAACAACGCCTCTTCTTCCTCAGGCGGCACAGGAAATTTGGAATGTCCATAAGGTCCCTCACCAACAGATGCACCACTGAAAGCATACTGTCTGGGTGCATAATGGCCTGGTGTGGCAACTGCTCTGCCCAGGACTGTAAGAAACTACAGAAGGTGGTGTGCACAGCCCAGACCATCACGGAAGCCAACCTCCCATCCATGGACTCCATTTACCTCTCCTTGCCGTGGAAAGGCTGCCAACTCATCAAAGACCCTTCGCACCCTGGTAATGCTGTTCCATCAGGCAGAAGATACAGAAGCTTGTACAGACACACCAGCAGGTTCAGGAACAGCTTCTTCCCTACCATTATTAGACTGATGAATGGACTCCCTAACTTTAAATAATGTTGATCTTGTCTCGCACACATCCTGTATGGTGTAACATGTATGCCTCTGTCAAGTTTCTTTTTTCACCCTATGATTGTATGTCCTTACTTACTATAACCCGCCTGTACTGCTCGTAAACACAGCTTTGCACTGTACTTAGGTACATGTAACAATAAATCAATCAAAATCAAAATCAGACAGAGACAATTGATAATGATTTAACCACAGGGCCAGCACACCTCAGGCAAGGGAAAAGGGTGAGAAAGAGAATCCTTCATGGTAACCTCAGCTAATGTGGGGATTGAACCCATGCAGTTGGCATCACACTGCTCCGCAAACCAACTGTCCAGCCAACTGAACTAAACCAATGCCAGGGGGAGTGGTAGAAGCAGCTGTGATGTCAACTTTTAACAGGCATTTAGACAGACACATGATAAGGCAGGGAATAGAGGGAAAAAATGCAGACAAATGGGATTAGTTTAAAATGGCATCATGGTCACCACAGACATGGTGGTCCAAGGGACCTGTTCCTGTGCTGTACTGTCCTATGTCAGATTTACATTACATTCAAAAACTACTGAACACATTTCATTGTGTGAGCTTGCTGTGTACATTTTGGTTGTCACATTTGTCCATATATAGCAATAGAATCTGTATTCAAAGGGGATCTATGTAAAGTGCTGTTTCTGAAAGATGCAGTAAGGTGCTATATAAAAGCAGCCTTCCTTTCGTCAGCAATGTTACTGCTACTGTTTCAGTGCAAGTAGAAATCTCAGGTTGCGGGATACAAAAGTCATGAAATTGTGGAAATTTATCTATTTTTAAGACCTTCTTTGAAGACTACCCAAGTTTCGAATGTCACACACACACACACACACACACACACACACACACACACCCCCTTCGTGGTGTTCCATGTGAATATCGCCTCACTCTTAATATCAAGTTACCTAAACTCAGGCTTCTCTCATTACCTCCCTTATCTCTTTTAGACACTTCAAGTGCTGTTAGTATCA